CTGCTGGGAAGTTGGTGGCCTAAGGTCCCCTCTGGGCAGGGCCCCAAGCCACTCTGGGGGCAGCCTACCTCCAGTGATTGGTCATGTGGATAGCAGTGCCTGGCTGCCTCTCCCCACGCAGGACAGCCCTGCAACGCTGCTGCAGCCTCAGAGCCGGCTGAGCTGGCTGACGTCCTGTGTCCGGTCCTGCAGCCCTCGATGCCCCTGCTGGGGCTGCACCCAGGGCGCTCCCCAGTGAGCCTCCCGCACACTTGTCTGTGAGCTCCCCCTTCCCAGGGAACCCACCTGCGACGCCTGCCGGGCCACAGCCTTGCTGTTCACTCCACAGAGCTGCATTGGTGCAGCCTGTCCCAGGCAGTGTTCTGGGGTGCCAGCAGCAGCCCCAGCCCCCCCACGCTGTGAGTGTAGGGACGCCGGGCATCTGCAACCCCAGCATGGTCCCACTACCCCCGGGAGGTCGGACTTGGCTTCAGCTCGCAGGGCTGGCCCTTAGCAGGTGCATACCCAGGAGCTCAGAGTTCTGAGACAGACCCAGGCCCAAATCCCAGCCTGGCGCCCCGTGCTGGTGGGCATCTTCTCCTTATTTGAAGAAACGTCTGTGCAGGTCCTTCACTCATTTTGAAACTGAGTTGTATATCTTTTTGGTGTGGACTTAACATGCTCTTATATTCCTATTTCCTGGACGCTAGATCCTTAGCAGCTATGTGAGTTACAACTATTTCCTCTTGTCCTGCTGGTGCGCTTTTCCCTACACTGCCCCCAGACATACTTTGGCAAGCATTTTATTAACAGACATTCAACTTTTTTTTTTCATAAACACTGTGTTTTAAAAAAAAATTTCAGGGCCGGCACTGTGTGCAATGGGTTAATGCCCTGGCCTGAAGCACCGGCATCCCATATGGGCACCAGTTCGAGTCCCAGCTGCTCCACTTCTGGTCCAGCTCTCTGCTATGGCCTGGGAAAGCAGTAGAAGATGGCCCAAGTCCTTGGACCCCTGCACCCGCGTGGAAGACCCGGAGGAAGCTCCTGGCTCCTGGCTTCAGATTGGCGTAGCTCCGACCATTGCGGCCAATTGGGGAGTGAACCAGCGGATGGAAGACCTCTCTCTCTCTCTGTCTCTCCTCTCTGTATAACTCTGACTTTCAAATAAATAAATCTTTTAAAAAAATAAAAAATTAAAAAATTCTCCCTGGGGGATTCTCTGCTGATCACCAGGGTGGAGGGAAGAGCTGGGGTCTGTGGTGGACTTGACGTTAATGCCCGCTGCCACCTGATTATTGAAAGATACCTGAGGGGGACCCTTTGTTCCTGTGGGAGTTGGCCCCGGCTCTGCCTCTGACAGCTGTGTGCTCTTGGGTACGTCCCTGTGCCTGCCCATGCCTTGATTTCCCTTTCTGTAAAATGGGCTGAAGGCAGGCACCTGATTCTGTGTGTTGTCTCGAGGAATAACGAAGCCTGGGCACAGGAAGTGCCCGCTTGGCACTGGTGTCTAGCCTAGGCCCAGCCCGTGACAGCTCAGAAAGATGCCAGACAAGCCCCTTTCCTTAGGGCCGTAGGGCCTGGTCTTTGTTGCTGGTAACCAGGGCATCTTAGGTCTGATCTGCCTGGGAACTGGGGTAGGGCAGTTGAAGCAGAGGGCAGGGCCCATAATTCCGTGCACTTCACCTTTGTCCACCCTGGAGCAGGTGGCAGGAAAGCCCCTTCCAAGGATCTTTGATCTCCCTACACAAAGGGTTGCTTCAGGCTGGAACAGGAGGGTGGCGGGCTGTGGGAGGGGAGCGAATCCCCTCTCAGGGGAGACTCCCCCAGCGTGTGCAGACAGACCCCAGCTGGCTGCTCGGGGCAGTAACTTAAGACACCGATGTTGCAACTCCCGGAGCTGCGGAGATGCTCCCCACCCCTCCCCGGGTATTTTGCAGGAGCTTCCAAGGAGGTTAGCACACAGCCGCCCCCGGCGCCAGCCCAGCTCACATTCCAGCCGGCTGCCCCCCTCCCCAAGGCAGCCCAGAGCGCCTCCAGGGGCACAAGGTCTGGTTCCTGTTGTTTGTTTCAGAATCGGGTTCATTGCCGACTCGTTTTAATGTCAAAGTGGCACACTGAAATGTCTTGGAAAATGGCGGGAGCCTGCATCCCCTGTGATCTGCTGGGACAGCCCAGCGACATCTGTCGCTGCCACAGCCTGCACTGAGTGGCTTAGGACAGTCCCTCTCTGCGGGGGGCCGTCCGGCCTCCCGGGGGGTCATCAGCACTGTCTGGAGTTCTTGGCGGTCACCACTTGAGCAGGGTACGCTGGCAACGAGGGGAGGCGGGCAGGGTATCTCACAGCATCCTACCGTGCACCCAGGACAGCAGGGCTGAGGCGGCGACACCTGGATTAGGGGTGCCAGCACGCTAGTCTGTCAGGGAGGGCTGACTCCGACTCAGAGGGCCCCGGAAGAGAGGAAGGACGTCTTGGTGGTGGCGCTTGTCCGACTGAGAGGCTGGAGGAGGCGTGCCGGGCAGCGAGCAGTGTGCGCACAGGCCCAGAGGCATCTTTGATGGGGGGAGGGGGGTGCCGGCAGGGAGATGGAGCCTGCGGTTCAAGGTGGGGTCAGGTGGACTTGGGCTTCAGCTCTGGCTCTATTACTCCCCAGCCGTGTGGCCTCAGGCCTGCCCTCGGCCTGCAGCCCAGTCCCCTCAGCACTGAGGCTGCATAGCCATGGCCTCATCTACCCCACTCCCCCCGGAACCCACTCTGCCTCCCAGGCACCTGCTAAGTGCTTCCTGCTCGCTCCCTCTCCCCGCCACCCCCACCCCGCACCCTCCGTGCAGTTTCGTCTCCTTGGAAAGCTCACGCTGCAGGTGGGGGTTGTGCCCGGGGCCGACATGCTCGGGCTCGACTCTGGGAGACTGCTGTGCCAGAGACACTGTGTGTGGCATCGGGGAGGGGTGTCCGGAGGCCTTCTCCCTCCCTTCTCTGGCCCGTGAGCACCCTGGAGAACGCCAAGGGGCCCCCACCCCCAGAAGAAGGGGTTGGGTTTCCTCTTGCTTCCCATCTCAGCCCAAGAGCCTGCTTGCCCTGCGGCCCAGGGCTGAAGCAGCACAGAGTTCAAGCCCACGCAGTAGCTACTGCCAGAGGCTGTGGCCAAGCAGCCTGCTTCTGCCAGTGTGTTCCCACACCTGTGCACAACAGGCACACGGGATACTCCCCACAATATATATATATTTTTAAAGGCGCTTCATCTGGGTCTCCCACAGGGGTGCAGGGGCCCAAGCACTTGAGCCATCTTCCGCTGCCTTCCCAGGGCATTAGGAGGGAGCTGGACTGGAAGTAGGGCAGCTGGGACTTGAACCAGTGCCCATCTCGGATGCCGGCAGTGCAGGTCGCGGCTTAACCCACTGCACCACAGTGCCAGCTCCCCACGCAACCCTGACAAGAGTCTTAGGGCAGGGCCTGGCTCAGTGACCTTCACTGCTTTAAAGAAGACAAGCTCATGCTGAAAAATCTCCAATGCTTGGTAGTGGAGGAGGCCCAGGGAGCACAAAGCTTAGCGATTGCCCGATTTAGGATTGTCAATGTTGCTGATTGGGGACGTCAATCTTTAGAGGAGCAATTTCTAGGATATGAAAGAACTGCACAAAGATTTCACTTTTTATTTGAAAGAGTTACACAGAGGAGAGGCGGGGGGGGGGGGGAGGACGGTGTCTTCCATCCCCTGGTTCACTCCCCAGATGGCCGCAATGGATGGAGCTGAGCTGATCCAAAGCCAGGAGCCAGGAGCTTCCTCTGGGTCTCCCACGTGGGTGCAGGGGCCCAAGGACGTGGGCCATCTTCTATTGCTTTCCCAGGCCATAGCAGAGAGCTGGATCGTAAGTGGAGCAGCTGGGTCTCGAACCAGCGCCCATATGGGATGCCGGCGCCGCAGGCAGTGGCTTTACCCGCTACGCCACAGCGCCGGACCCATCTGTTTCGTGTTTGATTGATGCAGAATTGTACATATTTGTAGGGTACAATTGAGACATCTGCGTAATGAGCCCGTAATGGTATTTAGAATATCCCTCACCTCATCTATCATTTTCTGATTAGATACATGATCCCTCCCAATAAACTCGAGTTCAAAAAACTGCACTCCAAGGGCCAGAGCGGTGGCACAGCGGGTGAAGCCTCATCCCATATGGACGCCAGTTCGAGTCCTGGCGGCTCCACTTCCCATCCAGCCCCCTGCTAATGCACCTGGGAAAGCAGTGGAAGATGGCCCAAGTGCCTGGGCCCCTGCACCCACGTGGGAGACCCCAGAAGCAGCTCCTGGCGCCTGGCGTTGGCCTGGCCCAGCCCCACCATTGTGGTCATCCGGGGAGTGAACCGGCGGATGGACGATTCTCCCTCCTTCTCGAACTCTGACTTTCAAATAAACACATAAATCTAAATCTTGACAAGAAAAGAAAAGCAGGCACTGTGCCCGCGGAGAGGCTCCACAGGGCCCTCGGAATCGACCGCCGCCTCTTCTCCACCGGCCCCAGGCAGGCGGGCGCTCTGCGGCTCCGTCCCCAGCCTGCGCCGCACCCCCGTGTGCGCTGTGGGCCACACAGGCCCCCTCGCGTCCCCGCCGCGCGGCCCGAGCTGCGAGCCGGTGCGACCCGCGCTCCCCGCCTGCCGCGGCTTCCCGCTCGGCGCCGGCTCGCCCACGGAATCCTCGTGCGTTCCCCCCGCAGACCCTCGCGTCCCTTCCCCTCTCGGAGTCCCGCCAGGCAGGGCGAGGGGAAGGCAAAGAATCGCATTCTCCGGGCCGGTTAGGCGATGCGTTGAAAGGAAATTCTTAATTTCACTTAATTATACTCATTGAATTAATCGCGTTCGTTCCTCCCCAGCTTGGGGGCGTTTAGTTCCTCCATGTACGCATGCGCACTCCTGGCCGCCTGCGTAGGCTGCCCCGCCCTGGGGCCCCGCCTCCCGACGCCGGCATTGGCCGGTTCCGCCAGCGCGTTCCTGATTGGTGGCGTGGGCCGGGCCTCGTTGCCTATCAAAGTTGGCGGGAAAGCGGAGGCGTTGCGGAATGGCTGCGGCTGGGAGCTCGTTCTCCGGCGGCGGCTCGGCGGCAGTGCGGCTGCCACGGTCGCCGCCCGTCAAAGTGCTGGCCGAGCAGCTGCGGCGCGACGCGGCGGGCGGCCCGGGCGCGTGGCGGCTGTCGCGGGCGGCCGCGGGCCGCGGGCCGCTGGAGCTGGCAGCCGTGTGGATGCAGGGCACGGTGATGTCGGCGAGCGGCGGCGAGGCGCAGCTGCGGGACCCGAGTGGCTCCTTCTGGGTGCGCGGCCTGGAGCGGGTGCCGCGCGGGCGGCCCTGCCTCGTCCCAGGTAACGCCGGGGCCCCGTCTGCGCCCCCGCCCTCCTCGCGGCCTGGCAGGTGGCGGGGGCAGCTTCAGACCCGGCTCTGGCACCACTTGCCGTCGCGAGGGCGGGGCGGTGGCCGTGCCGCGGCCTTGGTGGCCTTCCTTCCTGGCGGGGCCCTGCCTGGTGTCTCCCAGGCTTGTCTGAAGATAAGCACCGCCCGCAGCCGGGTCCCGGGTCCTCCTCCCAGTCGGCCACCGCAGGGGGCGGGACCGGCTTCTCAATCGCCCTGTCCTGGGAGGGGTCTTCTTGCTGGGGAAGCCCACCCTGACCGCGGGAACGCGGGGAGCTCCCGGAGTTCCCCGGAGGCTGCGGGTCACTGACCCGGTGCCGCTGCCACCACCTGCCGCCGCAGCCACCCACCCCGAGCCTGGTGCAAAGCTCAGATGCCTGCGCCCGCCCCAGGGTTTCCGAGTCCCAGGATCCTTGTGGGGCCGACAATTTGCATTTCCGACCAGGTTGCAGCAGCTGCCTGTGGCCACACTGGAGGACCCCTGGTCCAGATGCTGAACTCGGCCGGGAGGGGGAGGGGGGGCTCGGTCTCTGGCCCAGAGCCTCTGGACACATGGGGGCTGCAGGAACCAGTTGTTTATTCTCAAGTGTGTTAGTGGTTGGAGAGCATTGATTTTGAAGTTTGTGAAAGTATCTTTACTGCTTCACTCCCCAGATGCCCACGATAGCTAGCTGAGGCCCGGCCAGGCCAAAACCAGAAGCCGGGGACGCATCTCGGTCTCGCACACGGGTGGCAGGGGCCCAAGCACTCAAGCCGTCATCTTTTCCCAGGGTGCTCTGCAGCCGGCTTGGAAGCAGTCAGGACTGGATCCCACGCCCTCCGATAGGGCGCGCGGGCATCTCACGGGCAGCTTCGCCACAACACCCGCCCCCAGACCCTGTGGTCTTGAGTGGCAGGCCCCATGTGAGGCACACGGGACGGTAGCCGAGGCCAGGGTGGATAAGCTTGGCCGGAGGACAGACCCAGGACGGGGTGGGTGGTCCGAGGAGACTTCCGAGGGCCCCGGGGGGCTCTCAGGGCCCTGCCTGCTCGGCCTTGGAGTCTCAGGAGATGCTGTGGCCTGACGGACTTAGGATGAATTCCTGCTTCCACCCTTTCCCAGATGAGCCGTCTGGGGCCCTTTGCTCTTGTCTGGGGGGCCATGGTTCCTGCCTCCTGTCGCGAGGATTCCCCGGGTAACCAGTGGCCACGCCCGGCTCCCAGCGGTGACCTGCTGTTCCCTGTGCTCCTGTGCCCTCCCGCCTCGGCCCGGGCCTGCAGCCCCCCGGTCCACCCGCCACTCCGGCTACCACAAAATGGCCGATTGCCTGTGGCAGGGGCCAGGCCACTGCCACACCAGGTGCCGTGGTGGGCGTGAGTGCCAGGGGCTGAGGCGCGCTCACCGCGTCTGGCTTGTAGCATGGAGAGAATGGCAGCGCGGATGCTTGCGGACAGCTTAGAAGGGCTCTCGCCCCACAGGAATGCCCTCACTCAGCTGCCGTGTGGGCTGCAGGCTCCGCGACCCCCACCCTCTGGAGCTGCAGGGCACCGGGTGGTGGCTTTGGTTCTTGTTGAGCTGTCCGTCTGTGCAGGGTTTAGCGTGTGGAGAGAGGGCGGCCCCAAGGACAGACAGCCGGAGCCCCCCAGGCTCGAGGGGTCAGGGCTGGTTCCTGGAGGAGACCGCCCTGAAGATGGCGTTGGAGGTATCTCTGTAGGGACTGAGAGGTCCCGGCCGAGGGGCTTCTCACTGCAGCAGCGACACTGGGTCACCCTGTGTCTGTGGCAGCGGCAGGAGTCGTCCCGCTCTGTGCACAAAGGCTCGGAGGTGGCAGAGCCCATTACTTGGGGGACCCTGGGGCAGCAGGTGGGACAGGGGTGGAAGGTAGCAGGGTCCAGTCCTGGCTGTGGGAGGGACTGCCCGCTTGGCCGCGGCCTGGCGCTGTGCTCACGGCTTTGGTGCTGTCTTTCCGCTGCTTCCTTCCCTGGAAGATCCGGCAGTTTCTCTAAACAGCGGGTGCTGGAGACGCAGGGCCTGGCCTGCCTCCCAGTTGCTCCAGTCTGCAAGGGGAGCTGAGAAACTAAGGACCGGAAGCTGCCGAGGCAGGAGCTGTGCCCGAGAACGAGGCCTGCAGTCACCGCGTGGTGGGATGGGGCAGACACTGCAAGGCCTGGGACTGGAGCCACGGCCACGGAAGGGGACGCGAGAGGATGGAGGAGTGGCAGGAGGGAGGGGGCGCGAGAGGGGAGCGAGCTCTGTGTGCGGGGCGGGCATGCAGGCAGAGTGCCTAGGACCCTCCTGTGTCTGCTTCCCTGGCTCGGAGCTCCCCGGTCTCTTGTGTGTGCCTTCCCAGTGAGGCTTTCCTGGGCTTCTCTGTCCCAGAGGGGCCAGCAGAGGGAACGAGCTCTGACCGTGAGGCCCCCCAATAGGACCTGGAGCTGCTGAAGTGCCGTCTGTGGGGTGTTGGACCAGAGTCCAGGAGCAGCTCGCCTGCGCCCCTGCTGTCGGAGCCCTGGGCTCACGTGTGCGGGCTCAGCCCCAGCTGTTGGAAGCAGGTCCCCTACGGGGCTGGCAGGGTGCCTGCCCTTCCTGCGTGATGTGGTTAGGCCTGGCCAAGTTTCGCTTTCAAGGAGAGTCCCTTCCCCAGGGAATGGGAGAGTCGCGGTTAGTGTGTTAGATCACCCGGGTGGCAGCCTGCCCTGTTGTCGATCTGCTTGTATGTGCCCAGCGGTGGTCAGGAGGTGGCAATTGGAACAGTGGAATGGGGCGGGGGTACTGCCGCCTGCCCAGCTTTCTGGGCAGCATCCAGGGAAAACTGGATTTGCTTTGTGGCTGTGTTGGGGTGGGGGTGGCTTTGTAGAAAGAGAATCCGTCACGTGCGCTGCCCTGGAGCCACGTGTCTATAACTCGGGCTGCAGTGTGAGTCCCTCCCACTCCCTGGACCTGAGTGCACGGCGTGTGGCACTCTTGTTGAACGTATTCAGACCAGAAACTAAGGAAGATAGAGGTGTCCTCTCCCAGGTTAAATATTGAATTTATTGCTAACACACACGCAAGGGCACTTCAGGAAGTTCGTGGAAGGCAGAATTAAGAGGCAAGTTTATTTTGGTGCAGAAAATTTTAAAATCCATCCATACACAGGATCTTCCAAAAGTCTGTGGAAATGTATATTATTAAAAAACACCTAGGGGTTGGCACCATGTCACAGCCGGCCTCTCATATGGGTGCCGGTTCAAGTCCCTGCTGCTCCACTTCCAGTCCAGCTCCCTGCTAACGGCTGGGAAAGCAGCAGAGGATAACCTAAGTGCTTGGGCCTCTGCACCTACGGGAGACCCAGATGGAGTTCTGGGATCCTGGCTTCGGCCTGACCCAGCCCTGGCCATTGCAGCCTTTTGGGGAATGAACCAATGGATGGAAGCTCTCTCTTTGTCTTTTCCTCTCATTGCCTCTCAAATAAATAAATAAAGCCTTCCAAGAAAAATAAAACACTACGTGGCTTTCAAAACTTTTGCCCGAAAATAAACCCAGCTCTCCATTCCATTTCCCCTCAAACTCGCCGAGGTCCCCCAGGCTGCATCTGGTCACAGACCGCCCGGTGTTTTGGTTTCCCTTGTGTGCGTGCGTGCTGTCTCCAGTTCCCCTCTGTGGATGTGAATATGAACATCACGCTGGGCTTTTCTCCTTTCTCCAGGGAAGTATGTGATGGTGATGGGAGTGGTTCAGGCCTGCAGCCCTGAGCCGTGCCTCCAGGCTGTGAAGATGACAGATCTCTCGGATAACGCCCTCCATGAAAGCATGTGGGAACTAGAAGTGGAAGATTTGCATAGGAGCATTCCTTAGACGGCGCTGCAGCGGTCGCTGACATCCAGCTCGGGGGCCGGCGTTGGGGCGGCGCAGGGAAAGCCACCGCCTGCAGCGCCGGCCTTCCATACGGATGCTGGCTCTCCGCTCGGCTCCAGCTCCTGTTCGTGACTTGGAAAAGGCAGCGGAAGATGGCCCACGTGTTTGGGCCCCTGCCACTCACATGGGAGACCTAGAAGGAGCTCCTGGCTTCAGCCTGGTCCAGCCTTAGCCATTACAGCCATCTGGGGGGTGTACCAGCAGATGGATAGCCCTGAGTTTCAAATATATAAATCAGTCTTTTAGAAAAACACCTGTCTGAAGTGCTCTGGGTGCGGACTCCCTCCAGGAAGTGGCGCTCGGGTGTTTCTTGGAGACTGCACGCTGTGACCGAATCCCCACGCAGGATTCACCGTGACTGCAGCTCCACTGCCGCCTCTCTCCTGGACTGTGCCTGCTGATGAAGAGCAGATGCTGGCTTTTTTGCTTTGGGGTTTCAGTTTGTGTTCATCTCTCTCTCTCTCTCTCTCTCTAAGACACAGAAACCTAATGTTGCATTTTCCAAGTTGCAGTAGCAGTGATACTTTCTCCATGCCTAAGGCCCCGCTGTTTTACAATGCCGGGCTGGGATCTCAGTTGTCACCCTTGATGATTGACGCGTGGTCACAGGAAGGAACAGACTCCGTGAAGGCACGAGAGACAGTGTGGCTCTTTGTCCACTCCCTCAGCAGCTTCTGCATCCATCCGGTTCCTGAGTCCAGTGGCGTTCCCAGCAGCAGGCCCGAGAGCCCCCGGAAGCTGCAGCTGTCTCTCTGCCCCGGACGTCACCAGACATTCAAGATCAGCGATGCCTTCTTCCGTCCCTCGGAGCTGTTGAGCCGTTTTTGAAATTTAGGGAAAAGATCAAGACTGAGAATGCCTTTTGGTCCAAGCCAGACTTGCACCTTGTAATTCTTGGAGAGACCCCGGAAGGGAGCAGCAGCGGACGTTGGGGTTCTGCCCTCTGCCCGTGACCCGTGCCTGGCTTTTCTTTAGATTGTAAATATCGAGGGACTCAGATTATGTTCCAATGCTGCTGTAGAGCTTGAACTGATTTTTAATATTCCGCCACTAATAAAATTTTTATATGCTGTATTGTTTTAAAAGTAGACTTTCTTTTTTTAGAGCAGTTTTAGGTCTACAGAGAACTCGAGCAGGAAGTGCAGAGTTCCTGTATGTCCCACACTCACGGCCCACCCTGCTGGTCTCCGTGGTCGCTGACAGCTTGGTAGTGCGGTACACTGGTCACAACTGGTAGACATTCGATGACATTGAGTGCTACCTTGATGACACTGAGTGTTACACTGACGCATTCCTAACTAAAGCTGATCGCTTACAGTGGAGTTCTGTGTGTTGTTCATCCTGTGGGTTTTAACAAACACAGAAGGCCCTGTCCCCACCCTGACCGTGTCCTACAGAGTAGTTTGATAGTCCTAAAAATCTTCCAGACTCCTCATCTGCTCATCCTTCCTCCCACCCCCAACCCTTGGCAACCACTGATTATAAAAAGATTTGCTATTTGTTTATTCGAAAAGCAGAGTTAGAGAGGGAAACAGAGAAAGAGATCATCCATCCACTGATTCACACCCCCAAAACGGCCACAGCAGCTAGGGCTGGGCCAGGCCAAAGCTGGGAGCCTAGAACTCCATCCAGGTCTCCCCCGTAGCTGGCAGGGGCCCAAGCACTTGGGTCATCCTCTGCTGACTTTCCAGGCTCATTAGCAGGGACCTGAATTGGAAGCAGAGCAGCCAGGATTCAACCGACACTCAGCTATGGGGCTGCCAGCGTTGCAGGCAGCAGTGTAACCCACTGCACGGTAATGCCGGCCCTGGTTTTTTTTTTTTAACTGTCTTTACAATTTTGTGTTTCCCAGAATATCCTGCAGTTGGGTCATAGAGTTTGGAGTTTTTCAAATTTTGACCTAGTGTGCATTTATGTTTACTCTGTCTTTGCCATTCGTATATTTTTTTTATTTTTATTTATTTTTTTTGCTGAGGGATGCCCCTGATGTGTGGATTTGTTCAGCCAGCTCACCCACCAAAGGCCATCTTGTTTGATTGCAGTCTTGCATGACTATGAGCGGAGCCGCTGCAAACCTTTGCGTACAGATTCTGTACTCACCGGGGTAACGGCTGGGAGTGCAATCGCTGGGTCACAGCTAGACCTCTGCTTGGCCTGGGAGGAGCCGCCGGCTGTATTGGGAACGTTTCACATGCCCACCAGCGATGAAGGTTGCCCCACACCCCGACCAGCATTTGGTGGTGTTGGTGCCTTGCTTGTGTCGTGTTTTTACATTGTTTTTATTACTTGTCTGGGTTCACTGACATTTGAAGCCTGTTTTGTTGGCAACATGAGATTTTTCAGGCAATATTGGTCACGTTTTGGTTTTCTCTCTCTCTCTCTCTTTTTTTTTTTTTTCCAAAAACACAGACAGAGACGAGACACAGACATAGGCAGAGACGGATCTTCCACTCACTAGTTTACTCTTCAAGTGCCCACAACAGCCAGGGCTGGAGCAGGTCAAAGCTACAATCCTGAAGCTCAATTCAGGCCTCCCACATGGGTGGCAGGGTCCCAAGTACGTGGGCTATCAGCTGTTGTCTCCTAGGGTGCACATTAGCAGGAAGCTAGAATCAAGCAGAGCCAGAACTTGAAGCCAGGCGCTCCCTTGTGGGACGTAGACATCTAAAATGGTGTCTAAAGCACTGTGCCAAATGCCCACCCCAATATTGCTGAGCTTTTATTTTGTTTTTTATTTATTTGAAAGGGAGAGTTACAAAGAGAGGTAGAAACGGAGAGAGAGAAGTCTTCTATCCACTGGTTCACTCCCCACATGGCCGCAATGGCCAGAGCTGAGCCGATCCGAAGCCAGGAGCCAGGAGCTTCTTCCGGGTCTCCCACATGGGTGCATGGGCCCAAGGAATTGGGCCATCCTCCGCTGCTTTCCCAGATGCATTATCAGGGAGCTGAATTGGAAGTGGAGCAGCCAGGACTCAAACCAGCACCCCTCTGGGATGCTGGCACTGCAGGCCAGGGCTTTAACCTGCTGTGCCACAGCACTGGCCCAATAGCTGAGCTTTAATGGGAGCTTTGCAGGCCTGTAGACCTGAGTGGACCCTTAATTTGTTGCTAAATTTCATTTATTAAAAAAAAAAAAAGTTCTTTTATTTGAAAGGCAGAATGACAGAAAGATCTTCCACCTGCTGGTTCACTCCCCGGATGCCTGCAGTAGTCAGAGCTGAGCCAGGCTGAAGCCAGCTCAGAACTGCCCCCAGGCGTCCCATGGGGGTGGTAGGACCTCAAGCTCTTGAGCCATCACCTGCTGTTGCTCAGGACATTCATCATCAGGAACTTGGCTAGAAGGTAGCCCGGACTTGAACCAGGCGCTCCAGTATGGGATGCAGGGTTCCCGAGTGGCAGCTTCACCTGTCCACAACGCCCGCCCCTGTTGTTCGACTTCCTGTGTGACTATGAGCGTGGTCCCGACCTCTCCGTTCTTCAGTTTCCTTGTCTGAGATGCACAGCCTGCACAGCTCACGGTACAGGTGGATGTGAGGAGTCAGTGAAGGTGCTGTGTAAGTCGCTCATTACAGTGCCAGGCAGACAGCAGGTGCTAAATTGTTGTTGCTGGGAGGAGCAGCAAGTTCTCCCTTGCATCCTTTGAAATACAAGGATACTTGGGCCGGCGCCGCAGCTCACTAGGCTAATCCTCCGCCTGCAGCGCCGGCACACCAGGTTCTAGTCCCTGTCGGGGCGCCGGATTCTGTCCCGGTTGCCCCTCTTCCAGGCCAGCTCTCTGCTGTGGCCCGGGAGTGCAGTGGAGGATGGCCCAAGTACTTGGGCCCTGCACCCCATGGGAGACCAGGAGAAGCACCTGGCTCCTGCCTTTGGATCAGCGCGGTGCGCCGGCCGCAGTGGCCATTGGAGGGTGAACCAATGGCAAAAGGAAGACCTTTCTCTCTGTCTCTCTCACTATCCACTCTGCCTGTCACAAAAAAAAAAAAAAAAAAAAAAAAAAAGCATTATAAGCATACTTCAGAAAGTTGATGGGAAGATGGAATTAGAAGATAAAGTTATGTTGGGGCCAAAAAATTTTGACATCTCTGCCTACAAGAGGTCTTCCACAAAGTTCATGGAAATGTGGATTAAGAAAAAAAGTGCATGGATTTAAAAAAATTTTTTTTATACCAAAATAAACTCTTAATTCCATTTTCCATGAACTTTCTGAAGTACCCTTGTGGATGTGTGCATACACTTTATTCTGAAAGTTTTAGACCTATGGGAAAATTGCAACAACAGTATAAAGTGTTCCCATACACGAGTACCCAACTTCCCCGTCATTACCCTCTTACACAAGTAAGGGCATTTATTACAATTCGTGGGCCTCTGCTGAGGTTAGTTGTTAATCCAAGCCTGCACTGCAGTCAGATTTTTTTAGTTTCTCCCTCATGTCCTCTCCTGTTCCAGGGTCCCATGGACAACACCACATTCCATGCAGTTAGGACGCCCGTGTCTGCCGTGGGAGTGCCAGGATTTGATGCCTGGCTGCTGCTCCTGACTCCAACTCCCTGGGAGGCAGTGCTGATGGCTCAAATAATGGTTCCTGCCACCCACGTGGGAGACATGGGTTGTGTTCTCAGATTTGGGACCCATCCAACCCCCACCCTTGCAAGATGGAAACTGGCTCGCTCTCTCTCTGATTCTCAAATAATGTGTTTTAAAGATTTATTTATTTATTTATTTATTTGAAAGGGAGAGACAGAGAGAGAGATGTTCCAACCATTGGTTCACTCCCCAAATGGCTGCAACGGCCAGAGCTGGGCTGGTCCGGAGCCAGAAGCTAGGAGCTTCTTCCAGGTCTCCCAAGTGGGTACAGGGACTCACGCACTTGGGCCATCCTCCACTGCTTTCCCAGGTACATTAGCAGGGAGCTGGATCAGAAGTGGAGCAGCCGGGACACAAACCGGCGCCCACATGGGATGCCAGCACTGCAGGCCGCAGTTTAACCCACGACACCACAGCGCTGGCCCCTCAAATAATGTTTTTTGGTTTAACTTTGTCATAAAAGTATCAGGGGGTTCCAGTAGTAGTCCTTGAACCGGGAGTGTGGTAGATCCCCTAAGATCTTGGTCTGCTCTGTCCTGCTGCTGTTCCACTCCTTACCCTAAACCTGTTTTTCTGCTAGAAAACTGCCGCCAGCTGCCGAGAACCGCGGCACCATGTCCTGCCCAGTGTGTGCTCGCCCAGCTTCTGGTACTTGATGCCCGGCTGGAAGGGCGTGCTGGGGCTGACCTTGATGCCTGGGCAGTAAGCGGTCTCGGGAGCATGGCCGTGGGGAAGGAGGGAGCCAGGTGTTTTTTTCCAGCAGTCCCCGAAGCGGCTGAATTTCCCTCCAGGCTGGAAGCGGGAGCCAGCTGTGTGGTTCCTCTGCATGTTAACAACTCTCACTGTTGCGGTTCGTGCTTCCTCCTTGACATCACCGAATGAAAAGGCATCAGAGGTTTTAGCTCGCTGGTGCCAACCCAGCGCCGAGCAGCCAGCACCGCCCACCAGACAACGGCAGGCCTGTGCACTCCGGCGTGCGGCTTCCCTTCTGAAATGAGCTCTTTTCTAAGAACTGAAGATCAGCAACCTAGCCTGTGATGTCACTTTTCTTGGAACTGCTTTACATTACCCAAAAAAGAAAAAACGAAACCCTCATTGAGCTGGCTGTAGATTGCTTCTTTCTGTTGCATGTTCTTGTAAAGCTTCAATATTACAGCAAAGTCCCTGTGCTTCAGGAATGACCACAAGAGAGAACTGACTGTCTGATCTGAGCTGCTTCTGGATGAGCTGGTTAAATAGAAATGGGAAGTGGAAGCCACTGCGTGTGGAGTCGCCTACACGTTACAAGGGCCACAACCGTGCCATCTGAGGATCACCAAATGGGTAGGACTCTCTTGGCCAAACCTCAGGCCACATCCAAACGGTGCCTGTTGGCAAGAATGAAAGGGAAGTGCCTGTTCATCCCTGGTGACCTACATTTAGCAAGTATCTTGTGCGAAAGAACACTGCCCCCTTGGCCCTGCCTGCTCAGGACAAGAGAGACAGCAA